TGTTTTATCCATTAGTTAATCTATGGTGTTTTATCCACCAGTTACTCTATGGTGTTTTATCCACCAGTTACTCTATGGTGTTTTATCCACCAAATACTCTATAGTGTTTTATCCACTAGTTACTCTATGGTGTTTTATCCACCAGTAACTCTATGGTGATTTATCCACCAAATACTCTATGGTGTTTTATCCACCAGTTACTCTATGGTGTTTTATCCACTAGTTACTCTATACTGTTTTATCCACTAGTTACTCTATCGTGATTTATCCACCAGTTACACTATGGTGTTTTATCCACTACTTACTCTATGGTGTTTTATCCACTAGTTACTCTATACTGTTTTATCACCCAGTTACTCTATGGTGTTTTATCCACTACTTACTCTATGGTGTTTTATCCACTAGTTACTCTATGGTGTTTTATCCACTAGTTACTCTATATTGTTTTATCCACCAGTTACTCTATACTGTTTTATCCACTAATTACTCTATGGTCATTTATCCACTAGTTACTCAATAGTATTTTATCCACTAGTTACTCTATACTGTTTTATCCACTAGTTACTCTATAGTATTTCATCCACTAGTTACTCTATGGTGTTTTATCCACTAATTACTCTATGGTGATTTATCCACTAGTTACTCTATTGTGTTTTATCCACTAGTTACTCTATTCTGTTTTGTCCACTACTTACTCTATAGTGTTTTATCCACTACTTACTCTATGGTGTATTATCCACTAGTTACTCTATATTGTTTTATCCACCAGTTACTCTATAGTGTTTTATCCACTAGTTACTCTATACTGTTTTATCCAATAGTTACTCTATGGTGATTTATCCACCAGTTACTCTATGGTGTTTTATCCACCAGTTACTCTATGGTGTTTTATCCACCAGTTACTCTATGGTGTTTTATCCACCAATTACTCTATGGTGTTTTATCCACTAGTTACTCTATTGTGTTTTATCCACTAGTTACTCTATGGTGTTTTATGCACCAGTCTCTATGGTGTTTTATTCACTACTTACTCTATGGTGTTTTACCCACTACTTACTCTATGGTGTTTTATCCACTACTTACTCTATGGTGTTTTATCGACTAGTTACTCTATGGTGTTTTATCCACTACTTACTCTATGGTGTTTTATCCACTACTTACTCTATAGTGTTTTATCCACCAATTACTCTATGGTGTTTGATCCACCAGTTACTCTGTGGTGATTTATCCACCAGTTACTCTGAGGTGATTTATCCACCAGTTACTCTGAGGTGATTTATCCACCACTTACTCTATTGTGTTTTATCCACCAGTTACTCTATTGTGTTTTATCCACCAGTTACTCTGAGGTGATTTATCCACCACTTACTCTATTGTGTTTTATCCACCAGTTACTCTATTGTGTTTTATCCACCAGTTACTCTATTGTGTTTTATCCACCAGTTACTCTGTGGTGTTCGTGTCCACAGGTTACTCTATGGTGTTTTACCCAACAGTTATTCTGTGTTGTCTATGTCCACTAGTCTACACAGAACGCGTGAACTAAATATCAGAGAACACAGAATGACTGAACCAACTGTTCACAGAATATAATGAATGGCTAAGCCAAATATTCAGAAAACAGAACGACGAAACTAACAGTTCAGAGAACAGAAAATGGCTAAACCAACTTAAAGTTCAACACAAACGTAAAACAAGAAACAATCACATTTTGGCTGTCGAGTTTATTAGGCCTTAAGGTACAGCTTCTATCATCGTTCATTATAGAAATTCTGGAAAGGGGAACCTAACGGAACAGGTGAGTCATCTGATATTTTCTGTAACGATGGGCACTCCTAATAGTGCTGGTATGTAAACCTAATTGAACGGTCGTATCATCTGAGGTTTTCCATATTCTTAATATTTTTCAAACTGCAGGCGCAATCTGAACGTTTGTACTAGGTTTGTAATTAGACAACTTGTACAAAATTTATAATCTGAAATATTTTGCTTACAAGTTTCATTATGGTTGTCCAAGATTAGATGTGAAGATGGCTGCTGTGAAAAAGATCCTGGTGTACCCGTAGACTCAATCGGCGATCGAGCCCCATCCATACTGCCTCCATAGGAACTTAGGGAATGTGACTCAGGCCACTGAAACAAAGAAACACTTGTCATAAGGAAAAGTCAAGTAAGATATAGTAGTAGTAGAAGAAATTACTGCAGAAAGTAGTGTGTAGAAATAAGAAAAAAATACTACAGTAATAAAGTAAGTCCAGAAAATAGATTACAGTGTTGTTGACAAATTATATCAATCTTGGAATACCAAACTAAGCATCTGATTTGATTTATATGTTGTCAACATTTAGATAAAGCCAGTCATTTCTAGCATCACAGTAGTTTTAATTTAGAATTTTCTGTAAGCTTCAATCCACTTCATAACTTCTCTCTAGGACTAGCAATAATATTTAATCCACTTCATAATAACCTCTCTCTAGGACTAACAATAATCTTTAATCTACTTCATAACCTCTCTCTCTAGGACTAACAATAATCTTTAATCTACTTCATAATCTCTCTCTCTAGGACTAACAATAATCTTTAATCCACTTCATAAAAATCTTGCTTTAGGATTACCAATAATCTCTAATTCAATTCATAACTTCTGTCTAGGTCTAACAATAACTTATAATCTACTTCAGGAGTTTCACAATAAGTAATTCCCTTCATAATAGCCTTTCTCTAGGACTAAAAATAATCCCTAACCCACATCATAATAATCATGCTTTCGGACTATCAATAATGGCTAATTCATTTCATAACAACTTTAGTCGAACGTTGCCAGTAGTTTGTAATCTACTGCATAATAAAATACAGGTGATATGTAACCCAATTCATAAACACTTCACCTAAGGCAATATATTGTCAAACATATCCATGCTGTTTTTGCTGTTAGAAATTGCACCTATACACCAAGATATAGTGTTGTACAGTTAAAGACAATGTTGTAGTGTTAGAAATACCCTTGTACTATTAGAGATGATGTTTCAGTGTTAGAAATAATGCTTTAGTATTAGTAGTGTTGGGTTAAATAATGTTTTAGTGTTATATACAGTGCTGTAGTGTTAAGATAGTGTTGTAGCATTAGAGATATAGTATTAGAAATACCGTTGTAGAGCTAAAGATACTGTTGTAGTATCAGAAATACCGTTGTAGAGTTAGAGATATTGTTGTAGCATTAGAGATGTAGTATTAAAGATACTGCTGTACAGTTAAGAGATACTGTTGTAGTATTATAAATACCGCTGTAGAGTTACAGATACTGTTGTAAAGTTATCGATACTGTTGCAGAGTTAGAGATACCGTTATAGAGTTAGAGATAATGTTGTAGCATTAGAGATGTAGTATTAGAGATACTGCTGTACAGTTAGAGATACTGTTGTAGTATTATAAATACCGTTGTAGAGTTACAGATACTGTTGTAAAGTTATCGATACTGTTGCAGAGTTAGAGATACCATTATAGAGTTAGAGATAATGTTGTAGTGCTGTTTACTAGAATATTATAAGAAAATAAAGAGTGATCTCAAAATTAAGTTTTATAATAATGTTTGCAGAAAATGAAAGAGGTTCTTCATTCAGTCGAATAAAGCACAGTTAAAAGAGTTGTGAAACAGTCGTAAAACAATTCAATCATACAGAATTTTCAATTATAAAAATTCGACTTTTAAAACAGAGATCTACAACACAAAATACAGGAGAGATGAGTTGTTTTCAGACTTAATCTGATTACATCTTTGATGATAGTGAAAGTACATTTATTATATTGTGGTATAATAGTCATGTTCTTTAACTATATCTTTAAATTTAATGTCAAAGGCTAGACTGAACAATGATAATACCGAACACTATATAACCCCAATTATCAGGGGGTACAAATAAGAGAACCAAACATTATATAGCCAGAGCTACCTGGATATACAAACAACTCTGGCTATACGGTGTTGAGTTCCGTTGTTTGTATTTCCAGGTAACTCTGGCTATACGGTGTTGAGTTCCGTTACCTGGATATACAAGCAAAAGAACCGAACACTATATAGCCAGAGCTACCTGGATATACAAACAACAGAACTCAACACCGTATAGCTCGGGCTACCTGGATATACAAACAAAATAACTCAACACCGTATAGCCCGGGCTACCATGTTGTGAAAACGATAGAACTAAAAACTCTACAGCCTGGGATACTGCGCTGTATAATCGATAATATATATATACAACACAAACTGTCCCCAGTGGGTCAACAGTAAGTTTACGGACTTACAACGCTAAACATTATACAGCTTGAAATACTGGACTGTGCAATTAACACTACTGAAAACTATATAAACCTGAGATACTGGACTGTACAATTAACGTTAGTGAACATTATATAGTCTCTGAGATACTGGGATGTACAATTAACATTACTGAACACTATACAGTCTGAGCTACTGGACTGTACAATTAACATTACTGAACACTATACAGCCTGAGATACCGAACCGTAGAATTAACATTACTGAACACTGTACAGCCTGAGATACTGGACTGTACAATTAACATTACTGAACAATATACAGCCTGAGATACTGGACAGTAGAATTAACATTACTGAACACTGTACAGCCTGAGATACTGGACTGTACAATTAACATTACTGAACAATATATAGCTTGACATACTGGGCTGTACAATTAACATTACTGAACAATATACAGCTTGACATACTGGGCTGTACAATTAACATTACTGAAATATATACAGCTTGACATACTGGGCTGTACAATTAACATTACTGAAATATATACAGCTTGACATACTGGGATGTACAATTAATACATCTTACTGTAGCACCTTAAACCTCGCTAATGTTTACATCTTACTGTAGCACCTTCAATCTCGCTAATGTTTACATCTTACTGTAGCACCTTCAACCTCGCTAATGTTTACATCTTACTGTAGCACTTTCAACCTCGTTAATGTTTACATCTTACTGTAGCACCTTCAACCTCGCTAATGTTTGCATCTTACTGTAGCACCTTCAACTACGATAGTGTTTCATGTTAATATAACAAATATTGCACGTTCACCGTTTTAATGTATTTCTCGCCCTTATTTTAATAATACTTTGTTACTTATTTTAAACAGATGGCGTTTTATTTCATTAATTTCATCACGGTGAAATAGTAAATAGCAAGAATTGTTTGCAGGTTTGTTAAACTGTAGTTTTAACACACCAAGAATTGTTAAACCGTAATCTTAACACATCAAAAATTGTTAAACTGTAGTTTTAACAAACCAAGAATTGTTAAACCGTAGTTTTAACACACCAAAAATTGTTAAACCGTAGTTTTAACACACCAAGAATTGTTAAACCGTAGTTTTAACACACAAGAATTGTTAAACCGTAGTTTTAACACACCAAAAATTGTTAAACTGTAGTTTTAACACACCAAGAATTGTTAAACCAAAACTACAGTTTAACAATTCTTGGTGTGTTAAAACTACGGTTTAACAATTCTTGGTGTGTTAAAACTACAGTTTAACAATTCTTCGTGTGTTAAAACTACAACACACCAAGAATTGTTAAACCGTAGTTTTAACACACCAAGAATTGTTAAACCGTAGTTTTAACACACCAAGAATTATTAAACTGTAGTTTTGATTAAAATAACAAAAAACAATGCGTTTCGGCCAACAAATACAAGTAAGGCCTGAGGGCGATGTGTATTTGTTGTTTACTCTGTATCTCGCGGCAAGAAAAAGAAGTCCACTTTCTGTTTAAACGATAAAAGAAAGACTGGTGATCCGATACAGCAGACAACAAGTATGTTTTGAGAATCGCAGTAAATATACATTCTTTCTATTGACTTTTCCAAGCTCCACAGCTAGGAAAACACTTTGATTACATAATGTCTGAAGTTTCTTATCAAATTAGATTTACTTTAATCTAATCGGAAACAAAGCTTTTAGACACAGCTTATAGTTTTCACTCAGTAACTAACTTTATAAAGGCAACAAGCGTCCTCTCCGCTCATGACGTCGTCTCGAGCTATTCTACAAGATAGTACCGGCAAGAGCTTATCCCTCCTGATCGATGTGTTTAAAAGGTCCATTTGCTACAATCAACGAAATAAAACAAGGTTATATATATATACATGGTAGATAGCAGCTTTTACGAAGCTAACAGATTTATAGCCGAACACACGAATATACAGGCTGATGGTCTGAAAGCAAGAGGCCACATTTTCAAACATACAAAACTATCAAACATGTGAAGCACGTGTAGTCTATTTCAAGCCACTAAGTAGTAAACACCAAAAACATTAAATTCGTCGGTTCTGAGAGGCAGAACAGCAACAGAACCACTGTAGCAAGATTAATAAACAGTACAACTAGCTGACCACTGTAGTAACATTAATAAACATGTTACTACAGTGGTCGGCTGGATCTACCGGCTGGATCTACTGTTTATTAAACCACTGTAGAAACATTGATAAACAGTAGATCCAGCCGACCATTGTAGAAACATTGATAAACAGTACAACCAGCTGACCACTGTATTAGCATTGATAAACAGCAGATCCAGCCGACCACTGTAGTAACATTGATAAACGGTAGATCCAGCCGTCCACTGTAGTAACATTGATAAACAGTAGATCCAGCCGACCACTGTAGTAACACTGATAAACAGTATTGGTGTAATGGATGAAGTACCTATTCCATGTTGTGACGTCCCTAATGTATCCTGAAGCTCCGAAAATGTAATGAATTGTTGTAAGCTATAAATGTTTGTTACCTAAAACGCTTAGAAAATTTAAATTTGACTTGAGGTTTTTCTTGCACATCCACTGCTAGATTATACATACGGGATAGTTGTTTCAAGACAAAGGTGAGTTGAAATATAAGTGGGAGATATGATGAAGAGAATGTACAGTTGTTTCAAGATAGAGAGAATGTGTTTTCGTGAAGTGTTTGAATACGTGTTAGCTATTGCGCTTATTGAGTTATTTTGTATAAGTACGTTGATTTATTTTACGTATTTAACGTTATTTGTAACGCCGGCCTACAACACTTTTCGGCAGTGTACAAGTGTCAATGCGTGTAGAGACTTTAAGTTAGGGAATCAAGTAATTTCACCAGATAATTTAAAAGAAAGGGCGACTATACGGATCATCTTTCGAGTCTCCTGAAATTCGCAATGAAGCCCACTAACAAGTATATTTCACATTACGATCAACTACAGTTATCCCTAAACTACCTCTAACCATATTAGGTGAACTTAATTTTAGTACAGCCATTCAGTGTTTATAAATTTAACTAAAATATAACATTAAGATTCATTGTTAATTGTTAGCCATACTATTAATTACTAGTACTACAAGTACACCTTAGTTAGACGTTAACTGAATATTATTTCAGGCTCGGCATGGCCAGGTGGTTAGGGCGCTCGACTCCCAATCTGCTGATCGCGGGTTCGAATTCCCGTCACACCAAACATGCTTGCCCTTTCACCCGTGGGGGTGTTATAATGTGACGGCCAATCCCACTATTCGTTGGTAAAAGAGTAGCCCAAGAGTTGGCGGTGGGTCGTGATGACTAGCTGCCTTCCCTCTAGTCTAGGGACGGCTAACGCAGATAGCCCTCGTGTAGCTTTGCGCGATATTCAAAAACAAACAATATTACTTCTATAAAAACTTTCTAGACCTACCAAGGTGACAACTAATTTGAGGTCTTAATTTCAATAAATCTTCGTTAGTTAGCCAAAGCTTTTATTATTTCTTTTTATCTAATGACATTAGTGTCCTAAGATACATATACCTAAAAACAAAAGAGTGAAGTTGGCCTATCGATGTCAGTGCACTAAATTTTTCACTTTCGCGTTTTATTCACGACTGAAAACTGTAGAGGTTAAAATTGGAAGCACCTCGGGAAATGTGAACATCCAAGTTAGAGAACAGGACGTGGTGACATGTATAAAACTGGAAACACCTCGGGAAATATGAACAATTTCCATAAACCTGGAGTCAGTAACGCTTACAACAATACATCAACTTCTATAAAACCAAAAATTATAAAATTTTACAACAATAAAATTACTTACATACACCTGGAGTCAGTAACCCTTACAACAATAAAATTTCTTCCACAAAACAGTAACGCTTACAACAATACAACAACTACTAGTTACACCACACCTTGATGTTAGTGTTATCATCTACTAGTTACTTCTCACCCTGGTGTAAGTGTTATCATCTACCAGTTACTTCACACCTTGGTGTTAGTGTTATCAACTACTAGTTACTCTACACCCTGGTGTTAGTTCTATCAACTACTAGTTACTCCACACTTTGGTGTTAGTTATCAACAACTATAAGTTGGTCCACATCATAGTTTTAGTTTTGTCTGAATGAACAAGGGATATGAATTGGAAAAATGACAATAATTTTTAACATATTTCGTTCCAACACTATAGTGACATTCTAACGTCTTATGGTAAGATAAAATTGGTCGTTTTGTTTACTGCTTTAGTTTCGTAGTTTGGAACAAAAATGTGTTTATTTCCATACACTTGAGATGAGAAATACCAACACTTTGACAGCTATACATCAAATACAAAATCTTTGTTGTATAACGCCATCTATCATTAACCTAAAACTTCTAAGAACGGAAATTAATTTCCGTATGTGCCCAGGTATTACGCAAAAGGCCTCGTCGGCTCTGAATATGGTAAATGTAATGTGGTTGACCTAGTAAGTATTCATCGTTTCTTTCGCTATAAGTTCTATAATTGGGTATTGTCACTGTTTATGTGACAGGTCCTGAAGGGCATGATGTGGCCTAGTGATTAGCGTGGTAAATCAGAAAGTACTCCGCCTGGTGTGAAAGTCAGTTTTAAGAGGAGTCTGAAGAAACAGTAGGTGTAACTGGCTTGTTGGTGTCCCGCTGAACCTTATAAGCGTCTCTGACCTCACTCTTTAGATCACGTGACAAATAGAGCGTGTCCAGGGTCAATATCACTCACCTGATACCACAAAGTCCGCGAGATTATTCTTGTTATATTTTGTCACGTGTCAGTTATAGAGGGCGTGTCATCTGGACAATCACCCTCATAATGAAATATATAAATATCGATACTTAACATCATCATTACTCCATTATCACAGCCCCATTCTCTAATATGTAATGTAATAAAATATCTAATCACACTAAATTCCCTTAAGTCTTGTTTTGTAATGATTACACGATTAATTTCAATAGCCTGTTCGGAAGTAATACTAAACGTTACGCAAAAACCAAACCAAAATTAATGTCTGGGGGTACTAAACACAGAGGATGTAGAATATCCCTACCTGATTCGTCAAAAGTTCATTATTTAGCCCTGCTAAACTCCTCCTTCTTCTAGCTACACTTAGGTTAACATAGCATCCTTCTCCACCACTGCCACTGCTGTCGTTACTCTCTTCAAGATCTCCTGGTTTAGGGTTCCTCTCTTCAATCACTAGATTCATTGGCAGCTTTCCCTTGAGACAACTAATATATCTCTGGCAGAAGTTGTCACACAACTCGTGAACCTGCCACATGGAAATAATATCAACTTTGAAAGACTCCTTCAGGTTTTGAGGACATTATCAGTCACTAGGATTTATAAAACATTCATTTAATACGTCCCCTAGTGCTGAATCTAATATTGACAACTTGTAGAAAATTGATAGAACTGTTCTCCATTAAAGTAATCTAGTTGAAACCATAACCGTATCCCAGCCGGCCTCATCAGCCTTAGCATTTGCAAAAGGCCTCGTCGGCACTAGGTAAGCAGATACAGAGTGAAATACATTATTATACGATCTCCTTGACTTTCGCTCAGAAGTTCTTAGAATCAAGTGGTAGACAGAAAGTACACGATTAGCGAAACATCTAAACAGAAAGTACACGATTAGCGAAACATCTAAACAGTAAGTACACGAATAGCGTAAAAACTAAACAGTAATTACACGAATAGCGAAACATCTAAACAGTAAGTACACGAATAGCGAAACATCTAAACAGTAAGTACACGAATAGCGAAAAATCTAAACAGTAATTACACGAATAGCGAAACATCTAAACAGTAAGTACACGAATAGCGAAACATCTAAACAGTAAGTACACGAATAGCGTAACATCTAAACAGTAAGTACACGAATAGC